AAAGTGGTTTCCTTTTTTGGATTCGGCAGTTTCCTCAATTTAATTATACTCAGCCCATTGCGGCCAACCTGAAGTCCGTTCATTTTTTTTAATTGCAGAATTCACGTCGGGGTGGAAAGATATTCTTGATTCTGATGCTCAGAAGTATTTTGCTCCTCATTTGACAATAACAATAAATATTTAAATTTGCACACCAAGAAGTCATAAAGTGGTATCATTTCTACAACTTCTCAGTTCTACATTTGCCTCAAAAGTGCAGTATCAGGGATGAGGTGGGGTGCGAGTTGTGCCATGATTTGCTTCCGGATAGTGACAACTTATGAACGTCATCTATCTTATGTATTATTGACCTGCCTGCGATGTGCGCATGACACACCCAGCCCCAGACGACCCGGATGGCCTTGCGGTGCAACCCAGCACACACGCGTGCAGCACATGCCCTCGGGATCTCCCACGGGGACACCCAGATGACTGCGGCTGTATGCGGGGTGACGTGGCAAACCTCTTGTGACCCAAGCCGCATGTACATAAAGGTACCTGGGGTGGGAACCAAAGAAGTAACCTTCTTCTCACAGTTCCCACTTCAGTCTGAGTGGCCAGGGACCATCGTCCCGGATCGGGCCCGTCAGTATGCACGCCCACTCCACACCCTGCGATGGCCTCAGTGCCAGGCATTACCCCCGGGCCCCCTCAACCCCAGACACATCCCTGACAGACTGCAACTTCTGGGCTCCGGACCTTTCTGGACGTCTTTGTCAGGGCATACACCCTGACCTAGCCCATACCCGCATCCACACCCGCACTCACACCCGCACCCACGACCGCACCTGGCTGTTGCACTTCCCGTGTGCGCCCTGTGCTGGACACTCAGTGCGGCTGGATGGCCCGGACCTCAGGTCTCGGGTCTCATGTGACTTCTGGATATCTCCGGAAGTTTTCGATGTATTGTGGCCACTTGTCAGAGACCAGGTTGAGACAAAGGAAAGTCTCTGTGGCAGAGGGCTTTGGCCTCAGCAACTTATGCCAAGAGTGCTGTGCCAAGTAACACGTCCATGCCCTAACTTACTAACTGGCAACCAGAACTGAAGGGGGTAAACTCTAGTCGATTTTATTACTGAAGTGTAACCTATGTACAAGTTGGGTATATATGGTTACAGTGAAGACGGGTCCGCAATTGGCCAAGCCAAGTGGAGCGGAGCTAACGGGGTTAAACATTAGCCGACTGAATATTACCGACGAGTTGGGTTATGGGGTTAACAGAAAGGCAGGCGATAACCCAGAAACGGAAAGGAGGGATAGGCCCAAAGGTGGGCTCTGCAGGGCAGGCGAGTGTATTGCCCAACAGAGGCGGGAGTGCGCTAGCAGACGTCGGAGCTGTCCAGAAGTCTTCGGGGCTCCATACTTAGGGAGGCATAGGTAATAAATTGAAAGGAGGGGGTGGTGACCATCGAGGGGTACTGAGGGGATTGCGGAATATGGGAGCTCCGAGGTTAGTGAAGGAGTGGAGGTAGACTGGAGGGATCGGAGGGACCGGAAGTCAATGGCCGGGGATGGATATGACACCACTGTGGGAAGATGAGAAATTAACTTCCTTCTCATCTCTGACCCACAGTAGGATTGTGCCCTGGATAGGGCTGGCCAGACCAGAGACTGTGGACCATAGGGGAGGGTCATGGGGACCCAGGAGTCATCCCCTGACAGTCTTCCCCTGTAGTCCCCTGCTCATTCATAGATGGGCCCAGGCCTTACTATTCAGTTGGCTTCTAATCCTCCCACTCCACAAACTTCAGACATAATTTGGGCTTTTTGCCTATTCCTTATTTGTCCTGTGGAACCTTTCTATTTACTTCTCCTTCCCCTTGGTATCCTTTGTTTACCTTTGGATCCAATTGTCTCTGATATATGTATGTGCATACCACTCTAGTAAATAGTTCCCCCCATTTATAATATCAAGTCCTTGAATCCAAACCCTCTCCCAGGATGTCTATCGCATTCTACTCATCTGCTGCTCCACCCTGAACCAAGAACTGAGTGACAGGCACATCTAAAGGTGCCTTGGTATAAAACCCAATGAATCGCATGATGAACAATTGACCCTCACTAATGCCTCCATTGTGAAGTAGTGAGGGGGGGCTTCTGACCCCCTTCTGCTGGCGGCCTTGGTTCCTCTGTCACCAGCCCCCCCTGACAAATTGGGGACAACAAGAACGTAACGGGCGCAGCGCTCCATTCCAAGTCGCTGAAGCCGAGTCCCTTCAACACCCCATCACCCTCAGAGCTCCGACCCACCTCCAGCCTGTCTCCAACCCACTGTCGGATGACCCGGAACACCAAGCTCCACCAGACACACCTGCCTGGGTAGCGATCAGATCTATCCCCGGGTGGGTTCTGTTAGAACTGGGCGAGGGTGGACAATTCTGGAGGGGAACCAGAGACTTAGCAAGGAGGGACCTTGGCCTCAGCGACTCAAGTGGAGCACTGTGCTGTTGCTGTTTGTCCATTTGGTCCTTAATTTCATAGGCAGTGAGCAGGAAGTCTTTAGGGGGCATTTCAGGTCGATTTTAGACTGAAGGTCCAAAACAAGTATGTACAAGCACCTGTATATAATAGGGAGACAAAAGCACAAGGGAAACAAAGGGGGTCCGAATCAGAACAAAGGCGTCCAAATGGGAACAAAGGGATGACAGAAGCGGAGCAGTACTGAAGGTCATAGGTCAGAACCTGTGGTACATCTGAAAGGAGATTGGGAGGGCGAAGCCCAGAGGGGCAGGAGGGTGAGGTGAAGTGGGGATGATGACTAACTGGCTAGAATGGAGAGAAGCAGCAGTCCACTAAGGATGAGGGGAAAATGCGAAAGATACATTACAGACAGCGAAAGTGCCAAGTATGATCCATGGAGCTCAGAGGTTATGGAGGTTACGGAGGTTACGGAGGCGGGGTTGAAAGTCCAAGGAATATTGGCAAAGGTGTTTATGTAGTATGAGGTCACCAATGCAATGGACTTAAGCCAAGGTGGAGTCAAAGTCTGAGGTCAGAACTATGATGGAATCTCGGAGCGAAGGTACGAGCGGTGTCCGAGTACAGGGTATGGGACAGCGGTGGAAGGTCGTAACTTGCCGGAGGGTCGGCAGGAGAGGGTCAGAGGAAGGAGAGAAGTGAAGAAATTTCACGTTGCCCCACAGGACTTACTCCATGAGATCCAACTGAATGATACAGTTAAGGTCACAAGACAAGGACATAAAATCATGGACAAGCCTGGCATCGAAACCAGGACCTCTCAGTGTGCTACCATTACACAACTTGCCCGTTTGACCATGCCGGTATAGGCTGTTAAACTCTATACTGATGGGAACAGATATCCATTCTCCAACAAGAAGGAGAGAGGAACAGGGAGAGGAGTGGAGGAGAGGAAAGGTGTCAGGTCTGAAGGTGGGTATCGGAGCAGACAGGAGAAGGGTAGGAGAGTGACAGAAGGGTGGAGGTGTCGTGAGGGGTAAGAGGAGTGTGAGGAGGAGTGTGAGGAGGAGGGTGGCAAGAGGAGTGGTGTGAGGTCCAAGGTGAGTATTGGAGCAGACGAGGATAAGGTAGGAGAAGGACAGAAGGGTGGAGGTGGCATGAGGGGTGAGGGGTGGTGTGGTGGTGTGGTGTCAGGTCCGAAGGTGAATATTGGGATGGACGGCGGTAGGGTAGGACTCCGGAGGTGGCGAAGATGGGGGTCCGGGAGTCGGTTCGGGATCGGGTATGTATGGATATGACAGGTTCGTGACAATCCCTATCACTGTGTACTTAGCACTATCGGACCATTATGACTCTGACATCGCTGTGGCTTGTGGGACACCTGCTTTGATGATTTACACTGCTGCTCCACTCATCTTGTTTATGCTTACGTTCACCTCTTTGCATTTGCCTCCTCCCGATGTATACCAGACCGTTCCTTGGTCTTCCTTCCTGCTGCATCTCAGATAGATGTATATATCGCCTTTGTCAAACCATACAGGCACCATACTAATTCATTTTCAATGATCGAAAAATTTTAGGTATATACAGATTGACACCTCCGACTTCTTCCCATCGTGTAGTAATAGTAGCAACCTTTCTTTTGGCATCCGTGCTAGCCTGGTGGAACACTGCGAACGTACACAAAGATATACAACAACTTAATTATCATTATAACAATTTATCGTACAGCGATACTCTGGACAAGAAAATCACCCTTCATTGTCTAGCCCATAATCGGCCAACCAGCGGGCCGGTGAATCATCCCTGATGGGATCCAGCCACATTTGAGCAATTTCATAGAACGATTCCTGAGGTACAACAATGCTGACCAAAGTCCCAAATTCTTTCTGTATTCCTGCTGTTTCGAGTATGCCGTAGGTCTTGGACCCTACACCTCAGGCAGAGATCAAGTGGCGTTTATACAAGTCCCCCTCCAGCTCTTTGGCTTGAAGGTCTGCTTCAAATGTTTTGTATCCCTGGAATCTTGTGCTCTATGCTGGGATAGGCACCTCAAGCCCAGAGGTTAGCCTGGGGTGCCTGGGTTAGCAAACACGTGAAGGAACACACAAAGGATTTGTCTCGACGTTGTTCTGATGAGTGCTGAGGCCACTGAGTTAGCTGAGCACAGCGCCTCCCATCATATGAGACTTCTCACAGGCCTCTTGGCTGGCAACGCAATTCTTTACACTCATTCGCCATCGGAACCGAATTTAGCTTTGGGCGCTGCACGGTTATTGTACCATCCCTATGCACCCAAGGGATGACGGTTATGTTCAGTCCTGGAGACTTTGAGCAAGCGTTTGTGCCTTGCGGGTTCAGTCGAAAAGGGTTTGAAGGACATCCAACACGTGAACAGGGTTCAGCAGGTTGCGATGTCTATCCTTGTCGATTGGAGCCGTAAAGTTGCGCGCGATGAGAAGGGAGCGGACAGCAAGTTCACCCATTAATCCCTTCTCGACTAAACCCGCAAGACACAAATCCTTGCTCAAAGTCTCCAGGACTTAACATAACCGTCCCTTGGGCGCATAGGGATGGTACAATAACCGTGCAGCGCCCAAAGCTAAATCGGTTCTGATGGCAAGTGTGTAAAGAATTGTGTTGGCATCCGAGACGCCCGTGAGAAGTCTCATATGATGGGAGATGCTCCGCTCGGCTAACTTGGCGGCCTCAGCACCCACCAGAACAATATCGAGACAAAGCCGCTGCGAAAGCACAGCAAATACATGGTCCTTGTTCACAGCATCGAACCCTCCGAGTCCAACATCAGCAGTGGTGAGCTTGTAAGCTGCAACGTTGATCTGTTCATCGCCTGACCTGGGCAGCATTGCGCGCCACCTAGCAGAGTCGAGTGAGTAGTTGTCCTTGTAATTTGGGGGGAAGGGACGTATATCGGCTGATATGCTCCAGTGTTTTGAAATGACCCATCTTGGTGGGAGTGGAATTTCGGCCTGCTCACTCGCGTACTGATCGAAACCAAGAGCAAAGTAGGGGGGCTCTAGTCTTTGTCGTTCCTCTCTGATTCTTGTGGAAATCACTGTGCGAAATGATAAGCCCTAGCCAGGGAACTATGGTAAACACTCACTGCCTTGAGGACGAGGTGCAAGAGACGTTAATTTTGTCCCCATAAACACATACCACTTTTTCTGTAGCTAAACAAATCGACAATTCCAGTAGAGAACAAGAACGGGATTTACTTCTTTGGCTCGTTCTATCACTCTTTCAAAGAACTTCACCCGGAAATTTCTTATGCCCTTCCCCTCCATTCCCTGGTGCCAACGGCCAAGGACCTCTTCCCTCGTGCAATTCCCATCACCAAGAATACTTTCGAGCAAGGCTAACATGGTCTCATGTACAGCTGCAAGGAAACCAGCGATACCCGAAACTGCGCTGATACTCAGGTAATTATGAATCTTGAGCTCATCAAAATAGTTGCACACGGGCCCGTCCGCTAACGGGTAACCCAAACTACCGGGGGGACGCAGACATATAGGGAGGGTAAATATTCGTGAACCAACCTAGAGCAAAAAATGATCATATTTCCTTTCAGGATCGGGGGGACAAACACACCTCCGTGATTTCCCAGTGCCAGAGCTTTGGACTATGGAGATGGATTTGGCATAACGTAGTTAGTTGAGGTTGCCCTCCTCCCAGTCGTTCGGTCAAGATGCTTGATGAAAGAGAGAGAATAAAACGCGCATGGTATGCGGCAGCAAGATCTGCCAGTGACAACTAATCAGAATTCTGGAGAAGATTGTGATTCTCAGACTCGCCTTTTTCGACCTCAAGCCTGTGTACAGAGACACATACGTATGGAATGAGGCCGGCGCGGAACAAGCGTACTTATTGTAATAGTAATGAAGGGCTTCCCCACTGGGTTCTGCGAGTGATAGCTTCACATACGCTATATCATCGATTGATAATCATCAGTGCCCGACGGAGTGCTGGTTGGTACGCACCATATCTGATCAAGGGATCCCATTTCCTCTGTCTGAGAGCGTCTGCGATCAGATCCTTACATGTTCTGCGCTCAACGTCGCCGTGGCTTTCCATAATCGACGCCAGCTTGGTTTCTGGAATGACTTTCACATCCGCCTGTACCAGGCACAATGAAAGACCAGACATGATGCCACAAAAGAATCCACTCCACGCCTCATGGTCTGCGCCTAGACAAGACTCCTGGCTCTATGACTTCGTGGCTGGTGCCACGAACCTCTCGACGCTAAGAGTGTGGGGACAGACTTGAGCAAGAAGAGAAAATGAGGGACAAGATCACGGCTAGAATAGTCGAGATGAAAACTAGAGAACACTCTATTAGGCTGTGACCTGTGTTGACCCCATGGGAGATGAAACAAGACGGTCCGTACGTCCGAACCATTACAGGGAGTCTCAAACCTACATGAGGAGGCGATGGTCTAACCTAGTAATCAATTGTCAAGGTATAGAAAATGAACATGAGCAGCACACCTTGGCGCATGAATCGGGAAGTGAATTCCAATTAGCGGCTTCAGCATGTGGGAGTGTACTCAGGAATTCAAGAGCCTGAATTCAATCGGCTAACGTGAGCGCTCTTGAGAAGCAGATTCTTGGAAATCAATGTCTTGGCAAGTGTCTACTTCTACCAGGTGCAGAAAGGCAAGCATGACGCACAGGCACATGTCCCGGGAAATTAGATCAAAATATGGTCAACTTGTCATTTGTCAGGACAAATGGGCAGATCACGATTATATAATTCCCCATATGACAAACGCCACTTTGCGGCTTTTGGGTCATTGGCATTCCGAATCCTAGCTGCAATGGTAATAGTTCATCAGGCGGTGAAGCGTGCAAGCATTCTTCCACGGAGCTACATTAATTCAAGCCTGGGTGTTATGTTCGGACCCCAACATGTCCGTACAGTCGCTGAAATGAAATAGCCTTATCTGGCTCATCACACGGGCCCCGCTCGTGGCTGTTCAGTTCGGAGGATTCAGTGAGTCTGGTGTTCTCCGACATGTCTTCCGTCTAGCTCAGGCCCGTCATCTTTCTTCCCCGCAGCGGTGGAGGGCTCAATGTTGCTTTTGCTCGACTCAAATTTTCAGTTTCAATAACTCTATCTGCTCCAGCAGATGACCGCCCCCACGTTACACTGTGGGAAGTAAATGGCCGTAAAAAACCATTTTTGGTCTGGTTTTTGACCATCTACCACTGTTTTCGTGCCTTGCGTGCTGCCCATACGCTTGCCATATTTCTCTTGTTTGCGCTCCAATCACACCGCCTCACCGCCTCACCGCCCTACCTCCCCCACCGACGGTGATCATGCGGTACCGCCCTCCCGATTACCACATGCGCTCGCACACTTGGGTTTGGGGCGGTTGGAGTGGACCTCAACAAATTCTTGACTTCCAAATGCTGGCCTTCCCCGTCCAGAGCGCTTGTTCTCAATTTCCGATTCTGTTGTCCGGCTCCAACCAGCACTCTGGGAGTGTGCATCTTGATGTTCTTAGGTTTCTTCATATCTCTAGAGCCGAGGTGAACTAACTTGCGCCTGGCGACTACCCCCGGGCCCCTCATTAGCATTGAATCTCCGCACACGCCAATCTTCTATAAAGAAACAGCGTTGCGTATCGCTTGTGGCTTTGGACTAGCATGCAGTAGTTTTAAGCATTGGAGTATTCACTATCTGTCCAAGCCTTTCCGTCATGCTCCACTCTCCATCTCTTGTCAACTATAGACCTCTGTAATCCAAACTTGTTGTCCACTTGCAACGATATTCTTCCCTCCAAATTACTGACATATATTTACCTTGGCTGCGGCCAACGACCGGCTTTGTTATGAAGGCCCAGAAAAAGTACAACCGGGGAGTTCCAGGACAAGATGAATACCGCGCTGGGAACGATTGACTAGCATGGAATCTTGCAGTCCGTTGACGGACCAAGAGATGCATTATGGGTCTGCCACCCACTCGGATACCCCATACGGATCGTCAATCTAGGCTTCCTTCCACTTGTGTCTACTAGGTTACAGATGGGCCTGCATGCAGCGCGTTATGTAGGGCCCGTGTTATCGGGATGTATTATTTTTCCCGGGGTAGTACACGTTACTTACCTATAAACCTTCATAATGCTTGTCAAGATTTCATGGTGGGAAAAATGCCTGCGGAAATACGTGGTGGAAGTGTTGCTATGGCTCAGGGGAACGAAGTACACGAATCCCAACAGTGATGATACAATGGCTTTGCTCACCGACCGGCATGAACCTGCTCCATGATATATCGAGATGTAAATAGACGCCCACAATTCGAACAGCTTCCATCATAATTCTTATGACGCTCATTGCAGGGACAGCTCAGGGATTGGAGCGAGTTACTTTTAGTGCACGATTCAGGAAATGAATCCCAACTATATTAGCGGCTTCAGCAGGTTATAATCGAACCCAACCAAAAAGTCCGAGGACAATGAGCAAATCAAGAATTCAAGAGCAAATGTACGTACAAAGACCAATGAATTCGGTCGGCTATAAGCGCTAGCGCTCCGGAGAAGCAAATTAAACAAGTGTCTACCAGGTGCAAAAAGGCAATGCACACCATATGGGCATGTGTTTCGGGAGATTAGATTGAGATATGGTACAAATGCGCAGTGCCAGTGTCGACGCTCTACATCAGGATTATTTGATTCCCCATACGATAGCATAACGCCGCTTTCGGACTGTTGGCACTCCGAACCATAGCTACAATGACAGCAGTTCATAATTTGATCAACGGGCCAGAACTTTCGAACGAGGAAGAAGGGAACTTCTGAGACCACCGCCGCACGAGCCAGTTCCCTCAAGTGGGCAGATGGATAGGATGTAACGAGAAATTGCATCGCGCGCATTCTCGGAAGCGAGATGTCGTATTTCCATTCGGCTGTGTGCCTACCGTATTCAAGTTTCCAATGAACTGCCAGAGAGAACTTAAAAGCCACAGGAGTGCAGTGCTACACTCAAGAATCCCTTACATAACCATTGTTCTCCAACTGTATCGGTTAGATGCCATCACGCGCTATCGATAGAACGGTGCGCGCTTTACTTGATAGAGGCAAGAAGCCAGCAATACAATCCCAAAGTGTAGTCGGTTCGCGAGCGCTACGTCCATCGCACCCAAGTATTTCAGCAGACTTTATAGACTCAATTAAAGTCAGAAAGGACAGGCGAACTGCCGTTAGGAACAAGGTCAACATAGAACACGGGCAATTGCGCAGAGAGATCGTTCGAGTATCGTGAAGGCCAGTCCACCACCGTAAACTGAATGACTGAGCGATAGAAACCTAGAAGAGAACACTCCCAGATGGCGAGACAACTGGTGGGTCCGACTTGTTGGTGTCCCACCCAGCATCTGATATGGAGGTGGTGGACAGACGTATCTGGCGGACTGTGCCCAATACACAAGTTGGGGCGCGTGGGAGCCAAGTGAAAAATTCTGCCTATGTCATCTGAGTGTGGAGAAAAGAATCGTAAATTGGTGCCAAAGGAAAGGACCAAGGGTGCGAATAATTCAACTGGTGACGGTGTCGGACGGGATCCACGTGTGCGATTCTGGCACCCTATCTTGACTAGTAGGTCAACGAAGGCAAGAGCACACCGGAATGCATGTGTATACTCCACAAATGGCGAGAGACATGGGCGATTGAGAGTCGACAATTGTAAGCAAGCAGCAATGGTCCGATTCGATTGTGATCATTTTCTAGGGGATATAAAAGTAACATGGGCTGCATACCTTGACGAGCACACCCTGCCACGCACTTACGTGCATCAGGGGTCAGCAGTGTTTCCTCCCTCGGCTTTTCCTCTTGATATTATACTATGGGACTCATGATGAGATCGGTGATTGCTCGCACACCTGTCAGTTTCGCGCTAATGAGTACACTCGTGTGCCAGTCGGACTGAGTTAACGAGAACAGCCGATGAGTACATTAGCGGAGAAAACATCTAGGCCTGCCACTCACCCGGATACCTTGCGCAAGACACCAGGATCGTCAATGCAGGCTTCGTTCCATTTCCTTCGGCGTATCGATTGGATTCCAGACTGTCCCGCACACAGCGCACTATACAGGGGCCATGTCATTAGGATCGATTATCCCTCCGGAATACACATAACTTACCCATCAAGCTTCATAATGCATCTCTTGTTCCGTCAACGTGCCACAAAATTCCATGCTAGTCAAGTTGGGAATCGTTCCCAACGTGTTATTCATCTTGTCCTGAAATTTCCCGGTTGTACTTATTCTGGGCCTTCGTTAATCAGCTCAACAAAGCCGATCGTTGGTCGCGGCCAAGGTAAAGTATGTCAGCAATGGCGCTCATCAGAGGGAATCATATCGGTGCGAGAGTGGACAATTCCAAGAGCTTGAATTTGCAAGTGCATTCCCCCGGAATTCAAACAAAGACGATGAGACAAGAGAGAGAGGATCACGACGGAAAGGCTTGGACAGGTAGCGAATACTTCAATGGCTAAAACTACTGCATGCCAGTCCAAAGTCACAGGCGATACATAATGCCGTTTCTCTATATATAGAGGACTGGCGTATATATGTGGAGATTCAATACTAATGTGGGTACGGTATGTGGGGTTCATCGCCACTGGCCTGAGGCGCAAGTTACTTAGTTGTCCTCTAGAGATATGGAGAAACCCCAAAACGGCCATCAAGACGGACCAGACAGAGAGCGCTGGTTGGAGCCAGACGACGGGACCGGAAATTGGGAACAAGGGCTCTGGACGGAGAGGTCCTTGCATGCAGTCACCTAACTGACTGACTCATCACGGGATCAATGTAGGTTCTAAGTATCCAGCCTCGACGCTTTCAACCACCAATGCCCCTCCAAGGACAAGTCTTTGGTCTCGGATTGGTCATCTTTCTTTCCCGCGTGGCGCTCAAGACCACTTTGCTCAACTCAGGTTTTCAATTTGAACAACCTCCTTCTACTCCAACGATTGCCTCCATATGGTCTTGAAAGGTTGGGAGCCACGGAAGCGAGGAGTCATTCCTATCTCCCTATCTGTGTAGATGACTCGTATACTGAATAATGAATCACAGAAGCTTGCAGCCCAAACTTGTTCACTATCCCGTTGGTGGAGAGATCCGCACCCGCTTCCCAACCTCCAATAGAATTAACTCCGAATCTTCTGTGCACCCATCCGATCCCCGTTACATTAAAATAAAGTCCGGGCCTCGGAGGATTCATTTCCCCATGCTTTGTGATTTTTGGTGCCATTACATTGACGTCATATGCTTTCACGCGAATTTCTGGTCGTCATCAGGCCGCCCCAGCTTATCTGGATATGAAATTCCGCATTGTCCGACCATTGTTGGAGGCCATTGCATTCTACCGCAGAATAAGCCAGGGCCATTCACTTCAACTGAAACATAAAAGAGACACCAGCACAAGGACGGTAAATGAGAGCGAAGATGATGAGAGTAATTACCATTGGGGCGCAGGCGTCGATCTGCAAGCATTATACGGATACGACATTGAGACGATACAACGCTTCGCCAACCATGCAAAACGAGCCCAGATATTCGAAAGAGTCCTTAATCAATACAACAGCGGGGACGACAAGTCACACTGTATGTACATAACGTACTCTTGTGAACGCCTTGACGCGCAATCAACCAACGTACTAGCACCAGGACTTCCAAGCGACGACAAAGCAGGCCCTTCATGTTCGGATCCGGGTCTGAGCAGATGTCCTGTGGGTCTGAAACTCATCGTGTAGGCGTGTGGCGCAATCTCATAAAGGAGACATCAGATTGGCTTCCATTAGGGTATGTGCATAATGTCTGGCGCGGCGTACTGGCACTAAGGTAGTGTCACGGTGGTCCCCAATGTAGTGATACAATGGCTCACCCTCGCAACCGCGCTGGCTACCTCACGGCTTTGCCACTGGCGTCGATTTCCGGGTTGCCAATGCTAATATTAATATGATTCTGAAATTGACAAAGAGTTCACCGTCGGAGCAACATACCTCCTCGTGCTGACCACCCAGCGAAAATAATTCGCAACGTTGGATCGGCTGAACACTACATGACATCGACTGAGGTGTCCCAGCCAGTGATAAGCCTCTGCAGATGTGAAACAGCAAAGCGTAATTGTGAGAGCGCCAGGACTGCCGCGGCGAAATATTCTAGCAAAGACCACGTAATCGATCACTCTGCAGGAAAAGACAAGACCAAAATTTCAAACGGAATAGGTCATAGAAAGGAAAGGGACTGCTCATGTATGGCGAGAGACTAGATGCCCTGTATGTACCATCGCAAAACGGACGACGTATCGCTGAAGCCAGAAATTAGCCACCACTCCCCAGACATTCCCGGTGGTATCCAAGCCAAATCAAATCAGAAAAGTGCCCTAGATGCGTTCAGGAAGCTGCCACGAAAATAGAAATGCATTCGGGTACTGAGCCTTACTGTTTCTCGTTATGCAGAGCGAGAATACTATGTGTCTACGATTATGTTATACTATCCTATGTGGGGGATGAAAGACGTCCAGGATGTAGTTCGGTAAAGGCCCGGGGGTGGAGATCGCAAAGACGTAAATGTGAGAGTGAACAGGATAACCCGAACAATAGCAAAAAAAAAACGCGGAGAGAATTCCGGAGGACATGTGTATCCCTCTACCCTTTCCCATGGCCCATGCAAAAGGGCCAGGGCTGACAGTGATAATTATCGCAAAAATGCGCCACAAAAGTTTCTCCGCACGCGTCGGAAACGGAAATGACCAGGCAAGACAATGAACCCCACCAAAAACGACACCAGTGATTCCAAGTATCCATGCAGGATTTAATGCCACGATCTTCGCCGCAAAGGAAGTCGGATTTGCGGGTAGTACTTGATCAGTGATGGCATCAGAATTTAAGGGATTGGGGTGAGTCTCTTCCGTTACATGGATGGGGAAATGGACGTCCAGTGGTTTATGCCACCACAAAGCACAAAGAAGGATGCTAAGTGCCGCATAGGCAAAAGTCATCGTTTCCAGTTGCGACCTGGGTAGATGACTTGCCCACCGTCCAACATACTGAATGGTGAACCACAGTAACTGGAGGACGATAATGGATTTTGCAAAAAAGTTGCCTTTACTTCTGTCGAGGATCTGCTCCCTTGTTACTGCGACCTTTCTATCATTTCCTGACTTGTCGATTATGCCGGGGTATTTCTCAAAGAAAGTAGAAGGATCTTGACTTTCATGCAGCTCCACTACCTCTTGTGTGAAAGAGTCGAAGAAGCCACCCATAGTAACAAAATATGAATGGATCCTTGTGAAAGATCGATGTCAGGAGCTTCAACTGAATTGAATTCAGCGCAAACCTTGAATTCCAGCACACTTTTTTGATATTTTCCACGCCGTGGAAAACTCAGTCCATGCAACCATAACAACCACCTCCGGCAAAACCAACGTCATCATCATTTGAATCTTACGAGATGATAGCGGTTGGGGCTCCCAAAGTGAATGTTGCTTAAACAAATCTGGATGAATTGCTGTCCAAACACAAGCGAATATCGTAAGGAGGCAGCTGTATACTATGCTCCACATAGTCCGACAGTGGCGCAGATCGTTACACGCATCCGAGTAATTTATGGAGAAAGCTGTACTGTTGGGCGGGGGATGTTGAGAGATAGGTGCGGCATGGATGCTTTGCGTGAGGATAAAGCTGACGAGAGCGGTTGTCATTGTGACGGACATGATGAAGGTTTGGACACTCAGCTTGTGAACTTTATACCGCAGCGGGACAAGGCAGTATAATGCTTCATCGAACACACGGCTTCTAGTGTCCGAACAAACATTAGTAAGGATTCCAAATCCAGCTCACTCTCACATACTGCAAGGGGAGCAGGTGAAAAAAGCAACCTCATTGTGGAGTGTCTAATCCGAATTAACTTTGTTGATCAACTGATAAGATACATGCGATCAGCGAGTTCAAAAGACCACTTCTGAAAGTCCATGTGGACAGCCAGTACTCCCCTCAAGCGGGGAGATGAATGGGATGTTAAGTGAACCGAGGAGGCGTCTTGCGAGAGCGAGTTGCTCTCGAACAGAGCAAAACTATGAGAATGAAATCGTATCACGCGAGCGCGCGCATTCTCGGAAATTAAATGCCGTACTTCCATTCGAAATAACATGCTGCCGTGCGCTAGCCTCGAGGCGAAGTACTTAAGTTCCCAAAGAACCTTCCGCAAAAGCCACAGGGGTGCGGTTTGTCAATGGCATGTTCAAAAATCCCTTACCCAAGTTAGAAATAACAGAATTGAACTACCATTGGGAACAAGAACAAGATCGATCACAGGCTATTGCCCAGAGATCGTCTGAGTACCGTGAGGACCAGTCCACCACCGTAAACTGAACGACTGCGCGATAGAAACCGAAATGAGAACACCCCAGATGCCAAGACTGCTGGTGGGTCCGACTCGTTGGTGTCCCACCCAGCGTATGGTATGGAGGTGGTGGACGCGGACGTATCTGGCGGACTGCGCCTGATACTGCGTGGGAGCCAAGCGAAAAATTCGGTCACACATGCCATCTGAGTGTGGAGAAAAGTGATGCCAAAGGGATTCGAAGAACTCCACTGGTGCCGGAGGGGATCCACGTGTGCGATTCTGGTCCCCCATCTTAAGAGCACGCCGGAATGCATGTGTGTACTCCACAAATGGCGAGACGTGGGCCACCGGGAGTCGACGATTGTTAGCCAGTGGGCTTTTGGACATCTGATGATCGATTGGACAAGGTGAATGCATGGCCAAATAATCCGGCGTGTAGCAATGGTCCGACCCGGTTCTGATCGTTTTTCCAGGGGGTAGAAAATTAACAGGGGCTGCACACCTTGTCGAGCACACGCCACGCACTTGACGTACATCAGAAGTCAGCAATGTTCCCCACCTCACTTTCTTCCCTTGAAAATTGTGTTATGGGACTCAAGTTTCGCGCTAATGAATACACTCGTGTGCCAGTCGGACCGAGTTAACAGCGGAGAAAACATCCAGGCCTGCCACTCACCCGGATACCTCACACAAGACACCAAGATCTCAATGCAGGCTTCGTTACATTTCCTTCGGCGTATCGACTGGATTCCAGACTGTCCCGCACACAGCGTGCTACGCAGGGGGGGTGTTATTGGGATTGATGGAACAACACATCACTTACTAGTACCCGTCAAGCTTCGTAATGCATCTCTTGTTCCGTCAACGTACCACAAGATTTCATGCTAGTCAAGCCGTCAATCGTTCCCAGCGCGTTAATCATCTTGTCCTAGTTGTGCAAGTTCAGGGCCTTCGTTCATAAATGCAACAGAGCCGAGCGTTGGCTCCAGTCAGGGCAAAAATTTTCCATCAGCGGTGAGGAAGTATGAGTGGACAATGCCAAATGTTTGGATTCGCAAAGCGCATTTCCACAAGCAGATCGAGAGTCGAACTAACGCAGACTAGAATAGAATAATACTCAGTCTCGCGGTTGTGAACGCAATGAGAACTGTAATTGGATATCTACCTAGAATAGAATAATACTAGGTGAAGGTTTTAGAACAAGTAAACGAGTGAATATGATAAAAGATATACCGACCTCAGTCTCGCGGTTGTGAACGCAATGAGAACTGAGGACGTCAGCGAAGAAAACATCGAGCTTTTAAGCGTCGATTAATCGAGTGTAACAGGAGTGAGGATTATTACAAATAAAGGAAAGTGAGGCGACCAACAGGTCGGAAAAAGGAAGATAAATGCTAAATAAACATGGAATGATCAGACAGTAGAGACCGACTAGAAATAAACCTAACATCAATCATCGGGCGTCTCACCGAGATAATGTAGGTCAGGTATCCTTGCGCTAAACGTCGAACCAACCGTTGCTGTCTTACAACACGAACATGACAGAAGATCTTAGGCAGCCACTGGGAAAGGGGCACTCAAACTACTGGAAGCCAGCCAAAACCACGTAACACTGCCAATGTCAATCCTAAATAGGTGAATGCACAGACAAGGAGGACAGCCCAAAGGACCGCGTGACCCAAGGGGATGAGGGGGTTCCGGGGGTCAGAGACAAAATGGCAATTGCTTATGCGGCCCGCTTCCACGAGCACCAACGCATGCAATGGTGGGAGAAACACCTGGGGGAATACGCGGTGGAATTCGAAGCGAGTCAGAAAAAAGGGAACGAATCCCCCCCGTGACGATACAGTAGCTTCAGGCAGTGATTGCTCACCGACAGACATGTTAAGGTCCATCGAGAAAATGTAACTAAAGGCCCACAATCCAAACATCTGGAAGGGTTGCATGCTCGTTGCAGCGACAGCCCAGGGATGGAGCGAGTTGCCTTTACAGCAGGGGACAGAAAAATCTGCCGGTTGGGATTTCAACGTAAGTGATCTGAGTGGAGTCACCCGCTTCCAAAATTGGCATGTTTTGAACATTTTAATGGAAACCCCAATGGCACTGTGGAACCCCCCTAAATGTGGTGCTCAGATGCTAGCGGTACTGCGGTGACAACCTCCATCTTGTCCAGCCAGCATGGGGAAACATCTTGAGCCCGGTGCAAAAGATATCTTGGTCTCGCTATCTTCGAGGCTGACTCAACAGGAGATTGCCCAGGTCTCGGGAGTGTCCGAACGCACTGTTCGGAAGTTGCTTGCTGCTCCCTATGAGCATCGCCGTTGCCAGGATGAGACACGAGGGCGACACCGAATGCTTAGTATTGGAAATGGCGAGTCACCGGAGATATCCGGGACATATGTGGAGGATAATGTGGAGGATGTGACTAAGCGCTTGCGTAAATGCCGCGCATAGGAAGCTCCGGATTGCCGATGCATAGTATAAATATGGGTGCTTTAGCACCATATGTTCTTTAGTTACAGTTTCTCTTCTCATTTCTATATTACATCTGGATTGCGAGTGAACCGCTGAAGTGGGTTGCCATATATGGAACTCCGGATTTACAACACTTAGTTTTCATGCAGTGAATGTAACTCTGAAAGCTACATCTACATTGACTGTTCTGGCTCACAATCTCAAGTTCCTCGACAGCCTCATTGAACAAAAGCCGGATTTGTATCTCGATGAATTACAGGCCACACTCAGAAATGAGCTTGAGATCGAAACAAGTACCCGGACAATTTCCAGAGAGCTACACAGGCGTGGTCTCACCCGGAAGAAGGTTTGTCTTCCCCCACCCGACTCACTTTCAAAGTCTAAGTACCCATTTGCCAGCTCCAGAAGCCAGCAGCTGAACGCGATGAACAGCTGCGAGCTGATTTCAGGAGGTATATGAGGGCAACTTACCACGCAAATCAACTTGTCTTTGTTGATGAGACAGGGGTAAACCGTCACACATCCTCGCACACATATGGCTGGGCACTGTGTGGAGAGAGAGTGTGCCGACGCGATTTTTTTGTGCGTGGTACCAAGTTCGTACTGAACCTCTATCTGGGAACTTTGATGCTTAACTTTTACTCAGATACTCTGTTCTTCCTGCGCTGTCAGTGAATGGAATCATTCATGTCGATATTCAGAAAAACGCGTATACTGCTGAATCATTCAACAACTTTATTGCTTCAATTCTTATTCGCATGAACCCATATCCCCAGCCACAATCTGTCCTGGTTATGGACAATGCCTCAATTCATAAGTCTGAGGCACTTGCAGAAATGTGTTATGAGCGGTGCGCATGGTTTTCAACTTAGACTCAGTAATACTCAAGATATTGCAGAGGTGTCAAGCTTGAGTTTCTTCCTCCCTATTCCCCCGACTTCAACCCAATAGAGGAGGCATTTTCAACAATCAAGCAATGGCTCCGGAGGAACCGAGACTACGTTGATAATGAATTTTCGTCCGAGTCATTCCACCGAGCAGCAGACCTGCTCATAAGAGCCGTCTTCTCTGTGACCACTCATCAAGCGCGCAGATGGTTCCATCATTCAGGTTACCTTTAATGACTTCATTTGTTTTGCTATACTACACTATGCGCAGAAACTATGTACAATATACTTTGTGTGTGCAGAAACTTGAATATACAGAGTGAGTAGAAAGTTGGAATACACATGAAGTTCTCAGAAATTTGTCGTCAGTAGACACTCATATGGTACATTGGAACCATTGCAGAAAATCACCATATTTCCTCCCATGGGTCATCAAGTGGTTCATCATGAATAATTTCACCGGATGCGTCATCGGACGCAAAATCAGAGCCAGAATCAAGAAGGTGTGTCACTGGTGGTGAGCATAGTTGAATGCACGCATTTGGAGAGCTTGAATCAGAGGAAATTTCGATAAGTGGGGGTGAGCCTGGCTTGCCCTGGTGTTCTGCACAAGAGCAAGGTGCGGTGCGTGAGACCGACGGGGTTTGGGGGACACTTGCATGTTGCGAAGTTGAAGCATGTTTGATTGGACTTGGAGAAAGATCAAGAACATATGTGCGAGTCTTTGGACTCGGAGTCGCTGGGACAAGAATGACTGGCCTATTCTCCGAGGCAGCAGATGAGCGTGGGAGAAGAGTTTGATGACGACCCAGGGGCTGTTTAGCCTCTTTGAAGTGCTTTGAGGGCACTTGTTTCTTGGGAATAACCTCACCAAGAGGCTTCCTGCGCTTGGCCAGCATCAGTGTCGGAGATGGAGGGGTAGCAGATCGTGGCCGCCTCCGGGTGTGGGAACCACCCTGTACGGGTTTGAGAGGTGAAGCACTGAAAAGATGGCTCTTGGGTGGCTCAGTAAAGGAAACTCCTTTGATGCCATCAGTCTATGGAATTGGTCAGTCTCAGTGGGAAGGCATATGAGCGTGAAATGAACATGCCATTGCTCTTGCCCAGACAGTGAGTGCCTCATCACTGACAAGCAAATGGCGGAACTCCACAGCAGGGTGACGATAGCAGTGTTGTGCACAAGTGTGGCACCAGAGCCTCTTACAGAGTTCTTCATAAATTGATTGATGTGTGGACGAGTGCTGCATGACGGTCGAGGCTGTGGCTGTGCGGCACTTCTTGATCGCCACGCATTTAAACTCCTTTTTGACTGCATCCTGGAGCCACACATGGTAAGACTTGTGTAGTATATCTATAGCACAGTAGATTAACCTTGTTAATAATGCGTAATTTCTTCGACTTGTATGCTCGGGATTGAATATCACGCTGAGCCTCAATTGCACGAGCAAAATCTTTCACATCATGAATCCGAGTGAAGATGCATTCCTTCTCATCAGACAGACGATATCCAATCTGGTGGACAGAGAGTTCCACCTTCATCCTGCCTAAAATCTCGTCAAGCACTTCTTGCGCTGATTGGGATTTCGAGTCAGGAAGATAGACTGTTTCATTCTCTTTCTTCGGATCCATCGTGTTCAACATGAATTGATACTCGAATTCTAAACAAAAGTGAGCTTGAAAAGAGGTAGTAAGATGCTGGGACATACCTTTCGCGCCCTTCTCATTAAGTTTCTCTTTTTGTTTTCCCTTTAACTTGTTGTCCTTCGATGCAGCTGCTGGCCCAGGGGCTGACCCCACTGCGGGTGGTTCAGTGTGGGATGAAGGCTGATGGATTGCACTGGCATATGCGGGCGCTGGATTGAGCACAGTGACAGGACCCCATTGACCAAGATAGATGGGGGCATTGGACGCGGGTGTCTGAGTTGGAAGGGGGTGGATGGGTTCAGCGGAATATGGAAATTGGCCACTATCTTTTGCAGCAATGTATGCCTGAACACGGGCGCGAACAGGATCATCGGGTGATTTGTCTTCCCCTGGAAATAAAAAGCGTCGCCAAGGGTCAGATTAGGAGGCTAAGGGAACCAGACTTACAATTGTTGGGGATCCTGACTGGCATACCGGTAATGTCGCCACCACCATCTGAGAGAGCATTCAAGGTAACTTCTGAATCATCCGGAAGATAGTCAAGATGTCCATTTTCGATAAAATTGTAAACCGCTTCTTGACGGCTCTTTGGCAATGGTTTATCCTGAGTCAAGCCTAGAAGATAGGCCATATTCCAGGTACGTCGCTGGTCCTTGTTCTTGACATAGTAAGCCTTATCGAGCTGTCCAGTGTTCGACATTGTAAGTAGCTGAGAACAGAGCTAGCCTCCAACCCCGCTGTCATTCCACATGTCTTATATACCATGCCGGGCATCGTTCAGCTCCACAACACTCAACGTCATTGCCATTTAACTTATTCTAGGGTGGTGACTATCACCATCATTGCCGAGGGTGGGGACCCCGGCGTTGAGCTGTTCATCCAAATAAGGAAACCCCTTTTGTGAGGCCACGATCTTGCCAACTTCTTTAGGCAGATGATTGACCTGCCCCACTTACCCGTTCGAATCGCAACCGGCAGATTTTTCTGTCCCCTGCTGTAGTGCATGAGAATGCCAATTAGCGGCTTCAGCATGTGAGAGAGTACTTTATTGTGGGGCCGCTTCGTTCAAATGAATGATATCAACCCCGAAGACTTGCACGATAAGTAGAGGATCCTGTCGCCTCCACTGTGCAAATGCCGATGTCGGAGAAAGGCAACACCCGCTCGTGGCTGTTCAGTGTGGAGAAGGTTCAATTCAGTGGCTCCAGCGTTCTTCTCCTCGGGCCCGTCATCTTTCTTTCCCGCAGCGATGGGAAAATGTTATTAGAACTGTAGTACATGCTCTAGTCATCAGGACCCGACGTCCATTATCTATTGGGAAGAAAACACAACGCTTCGAAGGCACTAACCAACAAGCAGCCTGAGAAGGGAGTAACTAAGGAACGACGTTGGCCAGTGGAGGGGCGACAGCAAAGCACCAAGCGCCAGTGGCGGCCCTTTGGTGGCAGGTTCTTTGAGCGGGCCGGTGAGTCACTTCAACAAATGTTACTTTGTTCGACTCAGATTTTCAACTTCAAACCACTCTATCTGCTCCAATAGATGGCTGCATACGCGTTGTTGGTGTGATATCGAGAATCTCATGGTCTCTTTTTGCAAGGGAAACGTTGTCAGAGCGGAAGTCGCCGCATATGTACACCAAAATTCATCCCATTGCTTGCTCCACCATACCTAGTACATAGAGGATGCCACACTTCACGTCATCACAGCACTCCATCCAATCTATAATCATCGTCCTGCTTTTTGCACGCCCACTAAACCGACATCATTTCTCCAACGCAGACTGTCTGGTTTCTTCAACACGAGCGTTACAGGGGGGTAGCCCCCCAATTCCTACTCGGCATTCAGTGGACAAATCCCATTCTCGTGTCGCCCCATCCATATAGGGTGGACAAGACTACTAGCAAGATGGACCTTGTGACGCACAAGGCCCAAGACTAGTTCATTCATTCACTAGGTTGAGCAGTAGCGTGGAGAAGTTGGATGTTGTTTCTTTTCGTCAGCATATGGTAAGTAGCATTGCACAATATCGAAGCTGATTCCAGTGTAACCAAAGATTCACCGAAGCTCATGGCACATGCACAAATTTCGACAGGCTAGCAATATTCCCCACCGATTCACATCGCGCACGCTGCTGTGTCCATATTCCGGGTTTCGGACTTGGTGCACCGAACATGGAATGAGGGCCTTGCGACGACGTGGCGTTGGCTCTCTCTCGCCTCGAGTCTTTGCAAAGGGATGGTGGCGTGTTACGACGTTCAGCGTTTCTGATCCTGGCTCCGTCTCAAACTATGAATCCCTTTCCATTTCTACAAGTCCACTTTCACACCGCCTTCGTTGAGGCTTTGAATGGTATACCCCTCTTCGACTCAGCCTCACAATCTATCATCCAAACTTTGAGCTGCTAGATGATCACGACGACGAGCTCGCACTACTGAGCAGCCAACCAATATTCACTCAGCCGTTGCACATTAGATCCGGCGATTCATACAGTTTTATTGCCTCTAGACTATCTGGGTTGACCTGAGAAGGAATAGCCTTCCATGCCGATGGGTGTCACAATGCGACGGTGAAGGATGTAGGGAGTTGATAGGCAACTAGTAGCTAGTTAAAAAAGGGGAAGGCAAGGACAAAGGGGGATAGTATGGCGAGAAGTCTTGTAGAGGAACCTCATTCGATCCGTGCGTTTGTGGTGATGGTGCAGGATAGTTGTGATGGACGCATCTGGTGTATTTGTGTCCGAATACCACTAGACTGTTCTTGTTATGGAGAGCAACGATACTATGTGTCTACGATTGCGTTATCCTAGGTGGGGGATGAAAGATGTCCAGGATGTAGTTCGGTAAAGATCGGGGGGCGGAGACCGTAAGGATGTAAGTGTGAGAGTGAACAGGATAATCCGAGCAAAAGGATAGAATTGTATGGGGAGGGCTCCAAAGAGCATGCTTATCACATCCCCCCTTTTCCATCTTGCCCAGCCCCATGCATAAGGGCCAGGGGTCACGGTAATAATTATCGCAGAAATGCGCCACAAAAGTTTCTCCGCACGCGTCGGAAATGGAAATGACCACGCGAGGCAATGAACCCCACCAAAAATGATACCAGTCACTCCAAACATCCATAAGAGTTGCATATTCATGGTCTTCGCTGGATTGGAAGTCGGATTTGACGCGGTCTCCGTTTTCGACAGTCCCTGATCAGTGATGGCATCGGAATTTGGGGGATTGGGGTGAATTTCTTCCGTCACAGGAATTGGGAAATGAACATCCAGCGGTTTATGCCACCACAAAGCATAGTCAAGGATGCTAAGTCCCGCATAAGCGAGAGTCATTGTCTCCAGTTGTGACCTGGGTAGATGACTTGCCCACCGTCCAACATACTGAATGGTGAACCACAGTAATTGGAGGACAGCAATGGACTTTGCAAAAAAGTTGCCTTTACTTTTGTCGAGGATCTGCTTCCTTGTTACTGCGACCTTTCTCTGACCTCCCGACTTGTCGACGATGCCGGGGTATTTCTCAAAGAGAGTAGAAGGATCTTCATCTTTGGTTGGCTTCACCATTTTTCGTTTGGAAGAGTCAAAGAAGCCACCCATCATCACAAAGTATGAATGGGTGAATGACCATCCTTGTGAACAATCGGTGTCAGGCTTTAACTGAATTGAGCCTTTTTGCCATTCAGCGCACACCTTTGATTCCAGCACACTTTTTTGATATTCTCCACGCCTCGGAGAAGTCAACCCATGCAGCCGCAACCGACATCTCTGGCACAATCAACGTCGAAATCATCTGGGTGCCACGAGAATTCAACAGGGCGAGCAACCAATCCGAATATTCATTAGGCACATTTGGATGGATCGCTGTCCAGATGCAGGCAAATATCGTAAGGAGGCAGCTGTACACCATGCTCCACATAGTCCGACAGGTGCGCAGATCGTGACAGGCATCCGAGGAATTTATGGAGAAAGCTGTACTGTTGGGTGGGGGATGTTGACAAATAGGCGCGGCATGGATGCTTTGGGTGAGGATGAAGCTGACGAGAGTGGCTGCCATTATAACGAAGATGATGCAGGTACAAAGGAAAAATGGACACCAAGCCTCTGAGCTTTATACCACAGCCGGACGAGGTAGACCGATTCTAGCATAGTTTCTGCAGACACGTCGTAAGGATTCCAAATTCAGCTTACTCTCGTATACTGCAAGGGGAGCAGGTGGTTGAAGCAACCTCATTGCGGGATAGATGAATGAATGTTAGGTGAACCGAGGAGGCAACATGCGAGTGCGAGTTGCTCTCGAATGGGGCAAAACTAAATAGGTATGTAATGAGAATGAATTGTATCGCGTGGGCACGCATTCTCGGAACTGAAATGCCGTACTTCCATTCGAAATAACATGCTGCCTGCTTAGGACTGGTCCCGAGGCGAAGTACCAAGGTACCAAAGAACCGTCAGGGCGATTCAAGGCACACATTGAGTCAGACAGTGCAGAGGAAGGCCTGGAACCAGTTAACCTCAAAGACGATACTGTACATACACGACCAACTACCGGATGGGGTTGGAGCGTCACGCCGGGAGAGTAAACCGGCTGCTCCTGATGAGGTGTGACAGACAACCGGTGATAGCGGTGCATGTGCGACATCCGCAACAGCGGTATGTGCGTGAGAGTGACGGTCTCCGATGGTGAAGTCAGTCTTAAATCCGAATGAATTTCAAATCATATTATAATAAATAATTATACTCCGTTTTTGGGCTACTTTCCCAAAAATTGAATCAAATGCACAGCCACACCTTGGCTCCCAAAAAAAAGCGTGACAATGGGACAACAAACCGGATCCCCGGTGTCACGCGTCACAAACACGGACTTACACCCGGACCGCAAGGCTCGCGTCACGCGTCACCGGTAGTTGGTCGTGTACGTACAGTAAATTGGGTCATTAGTAATCAGGATAGTTACTACTTGGTGCGTAAACGTCTTGATTTGTCATGGATGATTACTGCATGCTCATATGTCTACGCATTGGTACGATTAACAATCCACTTGACTTTCCTGGCTCGTCGCACCGTTCTTATTGCCCCCTTAAGTATGATCGGCGACATGCAAGAACGATTGGCGGAGAAAATTTGTCTTTCCCCCGCACACCCGATTACATAGACTAGAGTGCCCTGGGATAGTAAGTAACTGGTGGAACGGCTGCATGACGCGCGCGCAGCAGAACCCGCTGCTCTTGATTCTCATCTTGCACGTTCAGTTTGGCGAATCGGAATTTTTGCGAGGGGGCCAGTTATTGTAGGAATTATCGTTACTACGCAGGTAATGTACGTACATAATGTGAGTCAAAATGAAAAAAAGAAAGAAAGATAGAAATAGGAAATCGAGTAGGCAAGACTCCAGCCTCTATCACGAAGTTCGGTGCCCAGAACGCCAACCTAATTTTGCACGGCATCACCTCAAAATTTCCACGTCCACTTATTTGGATCCCCATGCCTCAGCATCCAAGATCCGGACTCCACAGAGTCAGCAAAACCAAAGCAGATCATTACGCAACCGCTTATTCACCAGAAACCGACTGTCCTATGAGCATTTTCCTCGCAATCTAATTATCATAGGAGGAGTTGAGTGCATGCAGGTTTTTAGGAGGGGGGGAACACATTTAGAGCCCGAGTTCGCATACCGAAGGATCCGATTCGCAAACCAAATTCAAAGCGGTTGGCGGCGCGAATTGTGTGGGGTATTGAGCACGAAGTCGCGAATAGCTGAGCAGATCAAGCTTTTCTGAACTTCAGATCTAAACAAGAAACCATAGCGCGCGGGCGCGCATATCTGGAAATTAAACACCGTGTCCCGATTCATTGGTACTTGGAACAAATACACGCGCTGCACCAGCCTCAAGGCAAGTAAATCCCATATCTCAGGGACTGCCGGAGAAAGGTAAGCTGCCCAGAGAGTCCCTGTTTAATCAACGCAACTCAGGAACCGTCGCCAGTCAGCACATGCCACCACGACTTTCAATTTTCAAATCATCAGGGCCTGTAGACTTTCGCTCGGTGTAAGGGCACAGGTGTCATTTTTCTTTAGTTGCCAAGTAATCCCCTAGTTGCAGCCACTACGGAGCAGACCTGTAGAGTATCATCGGATCCATTCATTGTCAAGATGGGCCGAATCCGGAGTCAAGTATCTCCTACTACGTATATCGTATCTGGCTCATGAAAGCCGGCTACGTGACCCCAAATGGCGACGGCTCTTCTCGGAGGGTAATATCGTCAGCTAGATGCTATCGCGCTCTATATGTGTTGCAGTACATGCTGCATCGGAAGATGAATGACAGAAGACAGCGATAGGTTGGCACTACAATCCCAAAGTAAAATTGGTTCCTAAGCGCTAAAGTATCTTAGCAGGCTTCATGGAATTCCCTCTAAGTTAGAAAAAAGGGATAGGATAGAAAAGGTGGACTACCATTAGGAACAGGGCCCCAGAAAATAAGAGTACTACGGAAGTCGGAACACATCTCAGAGTTCGTCCGAGTACCGCGAAGACCAGACTGCCACGCTAAACTGGATGACTGACTGATAGAAACCTAAGAGAGAACGCTTCACAGATAGCGAAACTACCGGTAGGTCCTGGGGTCCAAAAAGGATCTAAGGGTCTGAGCGACTTAAAACTATTTGCCAGTGCCGGGAAAAATCTATGGGTGTGATTGTGGTACCCAATCGCGATGGAGAGTCGAGGATTGTTAGCAAACGGGCTCTGGACACCCAGATGATGGAATACATATACTTGAGCTCCATAGTGCATCTCTTGTTCCGTCAACGCATTATAAGATCTCCAGCGCGTTATTCATCTTGTCCTGGAGCTTCCAGGTTGTGCAAGTTCTGTGCCTTCGTTCATAAACGCAACAAATCCGAGCGTTGGTTCCAGTCAGGGCATTCCTCTAGGAAACACAAGCAGATCGAGAGTCGAACATGATAGAAGAGCCTAAGGAGGCGCTGGGAAAGGGGCGTTCAAACTACTGGATGCCAGCCAAAGCCATGGCCGATACGTAACACTGCATCTTAATGGAAGACTAGGTGTGGGGAGATTAATGCTGACGACCTGGCGCTTGGTTCTCATCTGGAGATATGAGGAAACGCAAATACCGCCATCAAGATACACCCAGACGGAGCAGAGTCCCAGACTGCTGGTTGGAGCTGTGCAACACAATTGGAGCAAGGACTTGTGGACGAGGTGCTGAGACGTTCATGATTGGAGGCGATCAGTGTAGGAAAGGTCGGATGAAGATTTGTGATTCTGTACATGTGCCAATCTCAATCCTAAATAGGCGAATGAAAGGACAAGGAGGGCAGCCCAAAGGCCGGCGTGAACCAACAGGATGAGTGGGCTTCGGGGGTCGGAGACAAAATGGGGGGGAGAAACACCTGTGGAAATGCGTGGTGGAATTTGAAGCGTTTCTACATGAGTCAGAAAAACATCGATAAAATGCAATTAAACGCCCACAATCCAAACATCTGCATGCTCATTGCAGGGACAACCCAGGGATGGAGCGAGTTGTCTCGAGTGCATGTGCATGAGAATGCCAATTAGCGGCTTGAGCATGTGAGAGAGTACTTTATTTGTGGGGCGCTTCATTCAAATGAATGACATCAACCCCGAAGATTTGCACCCTAGGGGCGACCAGGGAATAATTCAGTCGCTAGCGCGTTTAGAAATCAATGTCTTGGCGAGTGTCTTCCGGCAGCAAAAGGCGAGTATGAATGCACGCCGCACAGGCACATGTCCCGGGAAATCATTAATAAAACTTGTCATTTGTCATGCTCAGGACAAATGCACAGTGCCGACGCTCTACATCAGAATTGTTTAATTCTCCATGTGACAGCGCAACGCTATTTCGCCGCTTTCGAATTGTCGTTGTGGTAATCCGAATCCTAGCTGCAATAGTAGTCGGTGAAGTTGCGAGTGTACCAGCAATTTCCCGCAGAGTTTCGTGTTCGGTGTCTTTTGACAAAGAGCCTAATGAAAAGCCGACAGAGTCACCGAGTTCTATCTCGACAGATTTCCTGTAAGTCTCGAATAAGAGAGGACGAAACATGAACAAAGGAATTTGACTACTACCAACCATAGTCAAATCCGAGTCGGCAGAGCGAAAATGAGGGTTTCAGGGTTTGAAAGCCGTACTAGATGAATGGTGAAGGCAGTGCTGCTCCACAGTCTTGCCAACACCGGAAAACCGCTGGGTGCGCATTTTTTGCAGATTGGATACGGGCAACAACGGTGCCGGCATACAGAGCACACTTCCACACGAGGAATCAGCTTATGTATTCAACCTCGGTTGTTCTTTGGTTGTTCTTACATTTCCCAGCTTTATTATTCCATTCGTGGGGCCTCCACTGATCACCCTGCGGCCATTCATAAACGAACTGCGACATATGCATTCCATAATCGGGCAAAGGACCGCTCGGACCAACGAGTCGTAAGACTGGTCTAATAGAGGCTGGTGACCTGCCTATAAGACCGGTCTGACGGTTGAAACCCAAGTCTTAATGCTCATGCAACGTATGGAGAGACACGGCATTTCGCCCACGCTATGTGCATTCATTACCTTGTTAGTTTCGTTCTGTTCGAATGGACCTGAAATGACACGTCACAGCCTCCCCAATGCATCTGTGTCTCCGTCGGTCTGTAGCATAGCCCAATGTAGTATAAATACACATTAGCTAGGCATTTATCCGTCTCGTCTCACCTTAAGTCGCGCTTTATAACACGAGTCTAGCCGCTGCGCGCTGCGTCCATATCGGGAAAGTCATAACAACATATGTATCTCACATGACACCATCCTCGGCACCATTCCCTTGCTTCAGCGAGTTGACATAGAAAATCTGTGTGTCCGATTGTTGGATAATGACGCGGAGGGTAATGTGATTGTCCAAAAATGGCAAAAAATAAATGGTGAGCGTCCAGTGAGCTCACAAACTAGGTGTCCAAATCTTCATTATTGCACCTCAGGCTGCATCGTCTTTGTTACAATGGCAGCCGCTCTCGTCAGCGTTATCCTCTCCCAAAGCATCTATGCCGCACCTCTTTCTCAACATCCCCCACCCAATAATACAGCTTTTTCCATAAATTACTCGGATGCGTGTAACGATCTGCGCAACTGTCGGACCATGTGGAGCATGGTGTACAGCTGCCTCCTTACGATATTCGCTTGCATCTGGACAGCAATCCATCCAGATGTGCCTAAGCAATATTCAGCTTGGTCGCTCCGATTTAAATCTCGTAACATTCAAATGATGTGGACGTTGGTTTCGCCGGAGGTGATTGTTGCCGCTGCATGGGATGAGTTCTCTGAGGCGTGGAGAATATCAAAAAGGTGTGCTGGAATTCAAGGTTTGCGATGGCAAAAAGGACTCAATCCAGTTGAGGTCTGACATCGATTTTTCACAAGGATGGACATTCACCCATTCATATTTTGTTATTATGGGTGGCTTTGTCGACTCTTCCAAACGAGAAGCGGTGATACCAACCCAAGACGAAGATCCTTCTACTCTCTTCGAGAAATACCCCGGTGTAATCGACAAGTCCGGAGATCATCGAAAGGTCGCAGTAACGAAGGAACAGATTCTCGACAGAAGTAAAGGCGACTTTTTTGCAAAGTCCATAGTCGTCCTCCAGTTACTGTGGTTCACCACTCAGTATGTTGGGCGGTGGGCAAGTCATCTACCCAGGTCACAACTGGAAGCGATGACTCTTGCCTATGCAGCACTTAGCATCCTTGTTTGTGCTTTGTGGTGGTATAAACCACTGGACGTCCATTTCCCGATCCATGTAACGGAAGAGACTCAAACCATTCCCTCAAATCCTGATGTCATCACTGATCAAGTATTGCCCAAAACAGGAACAGGGGATGCCGCAAATCCGTCTTCCTCCACAGCGAAGATCCTGGAGACAAATCCCTTATGGATACTAGGAGTCACTGGTGTCATTTTTGGTGGGATTCATTGCCTCGCCTGGCCATTTCCGTTTCCGACACGTGCAGAGAAACTTTTGTGGCGCATTTCTGCGATAATTATTACAGTGGGCCCTGGCCCTCTAGCATGGGCCATGGAAAAACAGGAAAGGGATGAAGGCATAAGCGCGTTCCTTTTAGGTCTCTCCATGCTTTTTTATCCTATTGCTCGGATTATCCTGTTTACTGTACTGGCACGACCAACAACCGGTCGAGGACCTTGGATTGAATTGAAAATCAACACGATTGAATTGATTAGCAGCCTCCGGCAACTCCCGGAGGCCGTGGGAACCGGTTGTTGGTCGTGCCAGTACAGTACTCTCACATTTATGTCTTTGCGATCTCCACCCCCCGGCCTTTACCGAACTACATCCTGGATGTCTTTCATCCCCCACCTGGGATAACCGTAGACACGTAGTATTGTTAATAAGTAACAGTAACTCTAGTATTGGGACAAAAATACACCAGATGCATCCCTTGCAGCTTGAGCTTGTGAGCGAGAACTTAAGTGCAACCGGGAAGTTTCAGATGAATAACGCACTGAGAGCGATTGACAACTTGACTAGCATGGAATCTTGTGGTACGTGAAGCTTGATGCGTAAGTGGTGTGTATTCCGGAGGGATGATCAATCCAAATAACACGGCCCCTGCAGACTGCATAGCGTGCTGCGTGCAGGACAGTCTAGAATCCAGTCGATGCGCCAAAGGAAGTGGAACGAAGCCCACATTGACGATTCTGGCGTCTTGCATGCGTGAGGTATCCGGGTGAGTGGCAGTTTCTCCGCTGGCAATCATTGGTTGTTCTCGTTAACTGACGCACGAGTGTACTTATCCATCAGCGCGAAACTGACAGGTGCGTGCATGAGTAATCACCGATCCCATCCTGAGTCCCATAGCATAATTGGAAAAAGTGAGGTGAGAAACATTGCTGACTTCTGCTGTGCGTCAATTGCGTAGTGTGTACTCGTCAAGGTATGCAGCCCATGCTAATTTTATATCCCCTGGAAAAATGATCACAACCGAATCGGACCATTGCCGCACGTCGCCCTGTCCAATACATCATCAGAGTCTGCTCGCTAATAATCATCGACTCTCGATCGCTCATGTCTCTCACCATTTGTGGGGCAGTGTGCTCTTGCCTTGGTTGACCTACTAGTTAAGATAGGGTGCCAGAATCGCACACGCGGATCCCGTCCGTCACCAGTACTCGAGTTATTCAAACCCCTCGGTCCTCTCCTTTGGCACCAATTTACGATTCTTTTCTCTACACTCAGATGACATAGGCAGAATTTTTCGCTTGGCTCCCACGCACCCCAACTTGTGTATTAGGCACAGTCCGCCAGATACGTTTGTACTACCGTGTTCACCGCCTCCATACTATATGTTGGGTGGGACACCAACAAGTCGGACCACCGGTAGTTTCGCTATTTGGGGAGTGTTCCCTCTTAGGTTTCTATCGCTCAGTCATTCAGTTTACGGTGGTGGATGGCCTTCATGGTACTCGACCGATCTCTCTGGGCAATTGCCCGTGTTCTATGTTAACCCTGTTCCTAACGGCAGTTCGCCTGTCCTTTCTAACTTAATTGAGTCTCTAAAGTCTGCTGACATACTTGGGTGCGATGGATTTAGCGCTCGTGAACCGACTACACTTTGGGATTGTATTACCAGCTTCTTACCTCTATCAAGAGAAGCGCGCACTGCCTTATCGATATCAGGCGATGGCATCTAGCCGATACAGTAGGAGAACAATGGTTATGTAAGGGATTCTTGAGCGTAGCGCCACATCAATTTAACGAATCGCACCCCTATGGCTTTTGAGTTCTTTCTGACAGTTCTTTGGAAACTCAAGTACTTTGCCTCAAGGCCAGTGCATGGTAAGTACGCAACCGAATAAAAATACGACATCTCATTTCCGAGCATGCGTGCGTGAAGTGATTTCTACCTTTTTAAATTTGCTCTGTTCAGAAGGACCAGAAGGCATCTCGCATAATGCCATCCTCAGTTTGCTTGCTCACTTGCCATCCTATTCATCTGTTCGCTTGAAGGGGCTGGCTCCGCAGTGAGATGTTTCCTGGAACTTCTATGGGGGTTTCTTGGTCGTTCGAAAGTTCTGGCCTTTTGAACTCGCTGATCGCATGTGTCCTAGCCATGTGTTCGATGAAGCATTGCACTGCCTCGTCCCGCTGCCGTATAAAGCTCACAAGCTGGGTGTCCAAATCTTCATTGTACCTGCATCATCTACGTTACAATGGCAGCCACTCTCGTCAGCTTTATCCTCGCCCAAAGCATCTATGCTGCACCTATCTCCCAACATCCCCCACCCAACAGTACGGTTTTCTCCATAAATTACTCGGATGCGTGTAACGAACTGCGCACCTGTCGGACTATGTGGAGCATGGTGTACGGCTGCCTCCTTACGATATTCGCCTGTGTTTGGACAGCAATCCATCCAGATGTGCCTAAGCAATATTCAGCTTGGTCGCTTGGGGGTCGTAACGCTGGAATGACGTTGATTTCACCGGAGCTTGCTGTTGCGGGTGCATGGGAAGACTTCTCCAAGGCTTGGAGAATATCAAAAAAGTGTGCTGAAATTCAAGGTTTGCGCTGATATGGCACAATTCAGTTGAAGCCTGACATCGGTTTTTCACAAGGATGGACACTCACCCATTCATACTTTGTTCTTATGGACGGCTTCGTCGACTCTTCCAAACAAGAAGTAGTGAAGCCAGATGAAGATGGAAATGAAGATCCTTGTACTCTCTTTGAAAAATACCCCGGCATAATTGACAAGTCGGGAGATCATCGAAAGGCCGCAGTAACTAGGGAACAAATCCTCGACAGAAGTAAAGGCAACTTTTTTGCAAAGTTCGTTGTCGTCCTCCAGTTACTGTGGTTCACCACTCAGTATGTTGGACGGTGTGCAAGTCATCTACCCAGGTCACAACTGGAAGCGATGACTCTTGCTTATGCGGCACTTAGCATCCTTGTTTATGCTTTGTGGTGGTATAAACCGCTGGATGTCCATTTCCCAATCCATGTGACAGAAGAGACTCGTCCCAATCCCCCAAATTCCGATGCCGTCACTGATCCAATACTACCTAAAACGGAGAACGCGTCAAATCCGACTTCCCCTCCAGCAGAGACCATTGAGGCAACTTCCTTATGGATATTTCTTGTCACTGGTATCCTTTTTGGTGGGGTTCATTGCTTTGCGTGGTCATTTCCATTTCCAACACGTGCGGAGAAACTTTTGTGGCGCATTTCTGCGATAATTATTACTGTGAGCCCCGGCCCAGTCGCATGGGTCATTGAAAGACGGGGGAACATTATGGTTGCATTGTCTGGGGCTCTCTCCATGCTTATTTATCCTGTTGCTCGGATTATCCTGTTCACTCTCACATTTACGTCTTTGCGATCTCCACCCCCCGCCCTTTACCGAACTACATCCTGGACGTCTTTCCTTCCCCACTTAGGATAACATAACTGTAGACACATAAGACTCTAGTGTTGGGACATAAATGCACCAGATGCGTTCATCACAACTATCACCACAAACGCACCGATCAAATGAGGAGCCTCGACGAGACTGCTTGCGGCCACTCCTTCTGAGGTCAACCCAGATAGTCTGGATCTGGAGGCAATAAAACTGTGGGATGTGTCGGATCTAGTGTGCAACGGCAGAGTGAATATTGGTCGGCCGGCTTGGTAGTGTGAGCTCATCGTCGTTATTATCTAGTAGCTCAAAGTTCGGATGAAACAAAGACTGGAATACCCTTCAAAGCCTCAATGAAGGCGGTGTGAAAGTGAACTTGCAAAAACGGGATTCATTGTTCGAGACGAAACTAGGATCAGAAAGGCTGAAGGTCGTGATAAGCCATCATCCCTGGGAAAAGGCTCGAGACAAGGAAGAGTTAGTCGTTGCAAGGCCCCCGTTCCATGTCCCGAGCATCAAGTCCGAAATCCGGAATATGGACACAGCAGCGTGCGCGATGTGGATAATTTCTGGCCTGTCGAGCTTCTGTGAATCTTTGGTTACACTGGAATCAGCTTCGATATTACTTACCATACGTTGACAAGGGGGGATACCATGTACTTCTCCACGCTGTTGAATAGGTGAACTAGTCTTGGGCCTTATGCGTCGCAGGCTCCACTCCGCTGGTGGCCCCGTCTACCCTGGATGGTCGGGACAAGAGAAGGGATCAAATGCGATACATCCACTGAATGGGCATTGGGGGAGTCCCCTCCGTAACGCTTGCATCGGAGCACGTATGGTATGCCAACAGTCTGCGTTGGAGAAATTATGTCAGTTTGCATGTAAAAAGCAAGAGGATAATTATAGATTAGATGGAGTGCTGTGAAAAGAAATATAGGAGGATGGCGGGAACGCGGCATGAAATGTGGCATTCTCTGTGTACTGAGCAAGCAATGGGGATGGATTTTGGCGTACATATGCAGCGATGTTTGCTCTGACAGCGTTTCCCTTACAAAATGAACCAAGAGATTACCGAGACCACACCAACAACGCGGAGGCGGTCATCTGTTGTAGCAGATAGAGTGGTTCAAAGTTGAAAATCCGAGTCGAGCAAAGTAAGATTTGTTGAAACTCACCCACTCAAAGCACTCGTCACCAAAAGGCCACCACTGACACTTGGCACTTTGCTGTCGCCCCTCCGCTGTCCGGCGTCGTTACCGTTGTTCCTTGCCCTTGCGCCACCTGAAGTCGTTGCCATTGTTCCTTCCTCCTACCTTTACTCCCTTCTCAGGCTGCTTGTCGGTCAGCGCCTTCGAGGCGTTGTGTTTTCTTCCCTATAAATAATGGGTGTTGGATACTGCTGTGCGTAACGATTAGAGCACATACTGCAGTACTAATCACATTTCAAACCATCCGTCGCTGCAGGAAAGAAAGCTGGCAGGCCTGAGACGGGAGAGTTGCTGGAGAAGAACACTGAGGTCTATTTAATATTACGAAGTCATGGAGGCTGGAGTCCTGCCTAACACTGAGGTTCGAAAGCATCAAGACTGAGCTACTGAATTGAGCCTTCGAACAACCACGAGCGGGTGTTGCCTTCGACATCCACGCTGGAACAAAACTCTCTACTTCCCGATCTGGAGTCCTCAAGGTGGTGGCATGAGTGTCTTTCAAGTGCCCTGCTGCCCTTGCGTTTACCCCTTCTTCGTTCAGCTGCTCTCCAATTGCAAGCAGGTCTGCACTAGCTTGGTGAACAACTCAATTGCTGCAATTCGAACCAAACTTTCCATCACGTTAGTGCGGTAGACACTGCTACGTGCACGCATTTTGGGCCTCTCCGACGCTCAGCTTCATATTCAAATACGTCCCTGTATGACAGCTTGCCAAGCACGCCCAGGGCGTGGTGTCAACTGTCCTAATTCCATAAGCTTTGGACACTACCAAATAAAGATGTCCAGACCAGTGTCTACAGGCGATGTCAATTCTTAGCCTGCTATGTCTCCATCATCCGCTTTGCGATATAGCCCATAGGTGATCTTATAATTCGTGATGATCGAGCGATTTACAAGTCAGCGCTTGTGTCTCACGTTGCTCAGGTTGCCCTCGCGCCTTCTGTGAGTTTACTTAATCAGTCAATATGGTGCTGGTTGCATCGCCGAGGTCAGAAACCATGCTGCAGCACAAGGAGTCGGAGCGATAAGCTAGATGACCCACTATTCATTTCGGCACCGAACACGCTGTCCAAACATAACACCTCGAATTTATTGCCAATGTAACTCTGCGGGAAAATGCTAAGCACGCTTCCAACTGGTGAGCTACTATATACTACCATTGCGGCCGGCGTTCAGAACGCCATAGCAATTTGCTCTGACAAGTTGACCGTATTTTAATTTGATTACCCGGAATGATTCATACTTGCCTTCTTGTGGCTGGTTGACACTCGCCAAGACATTGATTTACTTCCCCGGAGTGTTGGTGCTAGCCGACTGAATTCACTGGCCCTCATATGTACGACAACCCTTGAATTATTGATTTGCTCGTTGAGCTTTTGTGGGAGGGTTTGACATAACCGTCAAACTCGGCCAATTGAATTCGCATACTGAGCAAGTCTTCAGGGGTTGGTGTCATTCGTTTGAACGAAGCACCAAGTAAAGTACTCTCTCACATCATCAAGTCGCTAATTGGCATTTTCTCGATGAATCTCAACACTTGAAGGACAGACAAATATCGCGTAATACGAACAATCTCCTACCCAGAACTTTGACAAGCTGCGCGGCGAATAACTCGATTGCTGCGGTCAGTATGGAGTGCACTGATTCACTTGGCTGTGACACTATAAATGGACGTCCTGTACTGTACTCATGCGCCAGTCATCTTGTGGTACGTTGATGGAACAAGAGACGCCTTATGAAGTTTGATAGGTAAGTGATGTGTATTCCAGACAAATAATGCATCCCAATAACACGGCCCCTGTATAGCGTGCCGCATGCGGGCCAGTCTGGAATCCAGTCGATACGCCGAAGGAAATGGAACGAAACCTGCATTGGCGATCCTGGCGTCTTGCCTGAGGTATCTGGGTGGGTGGCAGCCTGGCAGGCCTAGGTGTTTTCTCCGCTGACATCGGATGTCCAGATTCTGCTCGCTAACAATCGTCGATGATTCTCGATCGCCTATGTCTCTCGACATTTGTGGAGTATACACACGCATTCCGGCGCGTGCTCTTGCGCCAATTCGTTCACCTACTAGTTAAAATGGGGTGCCAGAATCGCACATGTGGATCCCGTCCGGCACCAGTACTCGAGTTATTTCGAACCCCTATGTCCTTTCCTTTGGCACCAATTTACGATTCTTTTCTCCACACTCAGATGACATAGACATAATCATTTCGCTTGGCTCCTGCTGGCACGCGCCCCAACTTGGTGAGTATTAGTCAACAGTCCACCAGATAATGTCTGTACTACTGTGTCCACCGCCTCGATACCATATGCTGAGTGAGACACCAACAAGTCGGACCCACCGGTAGCAGTCTTGCCATCCGGGGAGTGGTCTCTCTTAGGTTTCTATCGGTCAGGCATTCACTCGAACGATGATCTCCGAGCAATTGCCCATATTCCATGTCAACCTTGTTCCTAATGGCAGTTCGCCATTCTTATTCTGTGACTTGTGTAAGTGATCCTATAATGTCTGCCGAGATGCTTGGGTACGATGGACTACACTTTGGGGCGACTTATCCCCTCTATCATTTACCATTAGGAGGGGTATACATTGCCCTATCAATAGCCATCTGACCGATATGGCAGGAGAATGATGGTTATGTAAGGGATTTTTGAGCATAGATAACAATGGTACCCTTGTGGCTTTTGCATGTTACATAAGCACGAAATGTGTTATTTAGATGGTATTTCATTTCCGAGAATGCGCGCGCTCATGCGTTACGAATTACCTCTTTAGTTTTGCTCTCTTTGAGGGCACCTCTTCGGTTCACCTAACACCCCATTCATCTGCCCGCGGGAGTACTGATGGGTTTTTTCTGGCCTTTTTGAACTCGCTGATCGCATGTATAAGTATATCCAATTAGACGATCAACAAAAGTTGAACCAGACACCCCGCTTCGATCACCTGTTCCCCTGGCAGTATGCGAGAGTGAGCTGAATTTGAAATCCTTACAAATGTTTGTTCGGACACTAGAAGCCGTGCGTTCAATATACTGCCTTGTCCCGCTGCGGTATAAAGCTCACAAGCTGGGTGTCCAAATCTCCATTGTGCCTGCATCATCTCCGTCACAATGGCAGCCGCTCTCATCAGCTTTATCCTCACCCAAAGCATCCATGCCGCACCGATCTCTCAACATCCCCCACCCAACAGTACAGATTTCTCCATAAATTACTCGGATGCGTGTAACGATCTGCGCCACTGTCGGACTATGTGGAGCATGGTATACAGCTGCCTCCTTACGATATTCGCTTGTGTTTGGACAGCACTCCATCCAGAAGTGCCTGAGCAATATTCGGCTTGGTCGTTTGAGCGTGGTTCTCGTAACCTTGAAATGATTTTGACGTTGGTTTCGCCGGAGCTGGCTGTTAGGGCTGCATGGACTGAGTTCTCCAAGGCATGGAGAATATCTCAAAAGTGTGCTGGAATTCAAGGTTTGGGCGCTGAATTCAATTCGATTGAAGTCCTGACATCGATTTTTCACAAGGATGGACACTCACCCATTCATATTTTGTTATTATGAGTGGCTTCTTCGACTCTTCCAAACAAAAACTAGTGAAGCCAGATGGAAATGAAGATCCTTCTACTCTGTTCGAGAAATATCCCGGCATAATCGACAAGTCGGGAGGTCAGAGAAAGGTCGCAGTAACAAGGGAGGGGGTCCTCGACAGAAGCAAAGGCAGCTTTTTTTCAAAGTCCATTGTCATCCTCCAGTTACTGTGGTTCACCACTCAGTATGTTGGACGGTGGGCAAGTCATCTCCCCAGGTCACAACTGGAAGCGATGACTCTTGCTTATGCGGCACTCAGCATCTTTGTTTCTGCTTTGTGGTGGCACAAACCACTGGACGTCCATTTTTCGATCGATGTGACGGAAGAGACTGAGCCCAATCCCTCGAGTTCCGAAGCCGTCACTGATCCAGTACTGCCCAAAACGGAGAACGCGTCAAATCCGATTTCCCCTGCAGCGAAGATCATGGAGGCAAATCCCGTATGGATATTTTTAGTCACTGGTATTATTTTTGGTGGGATTCATTGCCTCGCATGGTCATATCCATTTCCGACGCGTGTGGAGAAACTTTTGTGGCGCATATCTGCGATAATTATTACTGTGGGCCCTGGCCCTTTGGGGTGGGCCTTAGTCAGCAGTGCAAAGAGAAGTGAGTCCCTTTTAACTCTCTTCATGCTTTTTTATGCTATTGCTCGGATTATCCTGTTCACTCTCACATTTACGTCTTTGCGATCTCCACCCCCCGACCTTTACCGAACTACATCCTGGACGTCTTTCATCCCCACCTAGGATAGCATAATCGTAGACACATAGTATTGTCGCTCTGCGTAATGAGAAACAGTAAGATTGTAGTATTGGGACAAAATACACCAGATGCGCCCATCACAACTATCCCGCACCGTCACCACAAACCCAACGATCAAATGAGGATCCTCTACGAAACTTCTCGCCACACTATGCCTTTTCGTCCTTGCCTACCCCCCTTTCAACTAACCACCTATCCACTCCATACGTCCTGCAGGGTAGCATCCATCGCCATAAATAGCGATTCCTAACGTCAACCCAGATAGTCTGAGGCAATAAAACTGCAGCATGTGCCGGATCTAATGTGCAACAGCTGAGTGAATATCGGCCGGCCGGCTTGGTAGTGTGAGCTCGTCGTCGTTATCATCTAGTAGCTCAGAGTTTGGATGATAAATTGTGAGGCCGAGTTGAAACGAGGAGGGGGAATACCATTCAAAGAAAGGCGTTGTGAAAGTGTAAGGACGGGATTCATAGCTTCAGACAGAGCTAGGATCGGAAAGGCTGAAGGTCGTGATACACCATCATCCCTTTGCGAAGGCTCGAGACAAGAAAGAGCCGAAACACCATTTCATGTCCAGTGCATCACGTCCGAGACCCGGAATATGGACACAGCAGCATGTGTATCATGAGCTTTGGTGAATATTTAGTTGCACCGGAATAAGCTTCGATATTGAGTAGTCCCACTTACCGTACGTTGACAAAAAGGAACGCTATTGAACTAGTCTTGGGCCTTGTGCATCGCAAGCCCCGTTCCGCCAGTAGCCCTGTCCACCCTAGATGGATGGGACGACACGAAAAGGGATCAAATGGAATTCGTCCACCGATTGCCGAGTAGGCATTGGGGGAATTCCCCTCCCGTAATGTTCGTATCGGAGTATGTATGCCAACAGTTTGCGTTGGAGAAATGATGTCAATTTAGTGAGCTGAAAAGAAGTTGTGGCGGGAGTGTGGCACAAAACGTGGCATTCTTTGTGAACTAGGTATGGTGGATGAATTTTGGTGCACATAGAGTGGTTTGAAGTTTAAAATTTGAGTCAAGCAAAGTAACATGTGTTGAAGAGACTCACCCGCTCAGAGTCAAAGCACCCATCATCAAAGGATCACCACGGGCACTTGGCACTTTGCTGCCACCCCTCTGCTGTCCGACGTCGTCGCCTTCGTTCCTTTCTCTTGTGCTGCCTGACATCATTGCCATTGTTCCTTCGTCCTACTCCCTTAGTTTACTCCCTTCTCAGGCTGCTTGTCTGTCAGTCAGTGCCATCAGGTGCCATCATTGCGCAATCGAGGCGTTATGTTTTCTTCCCGATAAATAATGAATGTTGGATCCTGCGGTGCATAATGACTAGAGCAAGTACTGCAGTTCTAATAACATTTTTTAACCATCGCTGCGGGAAGATGACTGGTCTGAGACTCTCAGTGAGACTCTGGAGCCACTGAATTGAACCTTCGAACAGCCACGAGCGGAAGTTGCCTTTCTCTGACTTCGGTGGTGATCAATAGGCAGCAAACATCTGGGTATCTTTCTGGCCTTGCATCAACTCCTTTTTCACTCCAGTTGAAAGAAGCGGCTCTGTACTAGTGCTTGCAATTTGAACCAAATTCCTATTGTCTCCATCATTCTATCACTTTAGTCGGTAGATCGACGCTGCTACGTGCACGTGTTTTGGGCCTTTCCGACGCTCAGCTTCATACGTCCCTGTATGACATCTTGCCGAGCACACCCGGGCATGGTCAACCTCCTTAATTCCATATGCTTTGGACACTGCCAAATAATGTGTAGACCATGTCTAGGGAGTGGTGTCACGGTCGATTCTTACCCCGCTATGTCTCAGATCTCAGTATTCATGATGATCGAGCGATTTGCGAGTTAGTGCTTGTGTCTCACACACGTTGCCCTCATGCCTTCTGTGGGTTTAATTACTTATTGTGGAAAGGGGCAACTTAGAGCTGAATGAGTCCCACTACTTCATTCGCGTGACGATATGCCCACTGGACACGCTAGGGTCCGAACATAATACCTAGGCTCGAATTATTTGCCAACGTAACTCTGCGGGAAAATGCTGGCACACTCGCAACTTCTAGTGTAGCTAGGGTTTGGAACTCCAACGACAATTCGAAAGCCACGAAATGGAGTAGCGCCGTTACATGGGAAATCAAATAATCCTGACGTAGAGCATTGGCACGGCGCATTTGTCCGGACAAGTGACAATATTTTATTTACATAACGATCTGATTCCCCGAAACATGTGCCTCGACTGGTTAACACTTGCCAAGACATTAATTTCCAAGGGTTTGGGATAACCGTCCATGTCACAACTCAGTCAATTGAATCCACTGGTCGCGCATGCCGTGCAAGTCTTCGGGGTTGATGTCATTCATTTGAATGAAGTACCCCACAAATAAAGTACTCTCTCACATGCTCAAGCCGCTAATTGGCAATCACTTCTCGATTCATACATGCGCTAAAAGCAACTCGCTCCAACCCTGGGCTGTCCCTGCAACGAGCATGGAATCCTTCCAGATGTTCGGATTGTCTTGCCGTTAAAGAGAGGCTGGTCACCTGCCTCAGGCTATCGGGTCATGGGCGTTCAATCACACTTTCCCGATGGACCTCAACATGTCTGTCCGCGAGCAATCACTGAACCTGAAGCCGTTGAATCGTCACTGGGGAGATTTGCGTACTTCGTTCCCCTTTTCTGACTCGCGTAGAAACACTCCCACCGCGCATTTCCGCAGGTATTTCTCCCGCCATTGCATGTGACAACGCTTGTGGAGCCAGGTCACATTTTTGATTGCCATCGACCCCTGAATTAACCTCCTCATCCCCTTGGGTCACGCGGTCCTTTGGGCTGCCCTCCTTGTCTTTGCATTCATCCTTGCTACACTGACCGCCTACAATCACGGGCGTCTCAGCCCCTCATTCACAAATCCTTACTTCAATTCCGTTGTACAGTACTCTGGGACTCTGCTCCGGTGTATATCTTGATATCTCTAAATGAGATCCAAGTGCCACCCGTTTGTCAGCACCAAATCTCTCCACACCTAATCTTCCGTGAAAATACAGTGTCGGCCCTGGCTTTGGCTAGCATCCAGTAGTTTGAGCGGCCCTTCCCCGCCCGCCCAAGCCCCTCTTTCATGTTCGACTCTCTATTTTGTCAACGGTGGGCCTCGGCTTGTGGAATCTTTCGAATTCAAACATTTGGCATTGTCCACTCGATATACTTCCTCACCGATGATGGCAAATTTTTGCCTCGACTGGAACCAACGCTCGGCTTTATGAACGAAGGTCCAGAATTGGAAGCTCCAGGACAAGATAACTAATGCGCTGGGAACGATTAGGTAATCTTATAACACGTTGACGGAACAAGAGTTTGATTATGGAACTTAGTAATGTATTCCATCATCTGGGTGTCCAGAGTCCGATTGCTAACAACCCTCGACTCTTGATCGCCCATGCCTATCATCAGATGAGTTATCCAAACATGTTCTGGCATGCTCATACCTTTGTTACCCTTAGGGTTGGGTACCGCAATCACAGTACTCGTAAGTCTCGTCTGACACTGGCAAGTAGTTTCAAGTCGCTCAAATCCTTGGATCCTTTCTTGACCCCCAATTTACTATGATTCCTTTGCACATGATCAGGCATGTGTAAGCAGAGTTTTGCGCTTACCTCCGATGCACCCCCAGCTTGGTGTCGCGGCTCTTTATATATCATAATCCGCCAAATATGTCTATACTACCGTGTCCACCTCCCCGTACCATGTGCTCGGGGGACGCAAACAAGTTGGACCTACCGGTAGTCTTGCTGTGAAGTGTTCCCTCTTAGGTTTCTATCGGTCAGTCATCCAGTTTAGGGTGGTGGTCTGGTCTTCGCTATACTTGAATGATTTCTGGGACGTGTTCCAACCTTCGTACTCTTATTTTCTGGGGCCTTGTTCGTAATGGCAGTTCACCTATTCTTTCTAACTTAGGGGATTCTACGAAGCTGCTGAGATACGTGGGTACGATAGACTTAGCGCTCGCGAACCGACTATACTTTGGGATTGTATTACCAACTTGTCGCTGTCTTCTCTCATTCATCGTCCAAAGCAGCATGTACTGCTGTACCGATAGAGCGCGATAGCATCCAGCTGACAGTATTACTCTTCCAGAAGAGCTGTCGCCATTTGGGGTCACGTAGTTGGCTTTCGTGAGCCAGATACGACATACATAGTAGGAGATGCCTGACTCCGAATTTGACGATGAATGGATCCGACGAATTATGATACTCTACAGGTCTACTCCGTAGTGGGTACTACCTAACTCGTGATCTCATTGCTGCAACTAGGAATTACTTGGCAACTAGAGAAAAGCGACACATGTGCCCTTACACCGGGCGAAAGTCCACAGGCCCTGATGATTCGAACGCCGTAGTGGCATAGGCTGACTGGCGACGGTTCCCGAGTTGTACTGATTAGACAGGGACTCTCTGGTCAGCTTACCTTTCTCCGGCAGTCCCTGAGATCGGGGATTCACTTGCCTTGAGGCTGGTGCAAGTCCAGCACGTGTATCTGTTCCAAGCATCAATGAATCGGGACGGGGTATTTAATTTCCAGATATGCGCGCCCGCGCGCTATGGTTTCTTGTTTAGATCTGAAGTTCAGATAATCGATTGGACTGAGTGGCCCACAACTACCTAAGCTGCTTCTGACGTCCTTGTTTGCATGAACGTTACGGTTCGACATTCGCCTCCCGATTTAGGGACAAAGGCAGCTTGTCCCACCTAAATGGAGGATGAGACGAATCAGAAGAGGGCCTTTTTGGATGGCAGGGAGGACAATCCCAGCGAAGGACTCCATCGAAGAAATGGTAGCTACTCTGTGACGGTATGAATGGGCGTGCATGCAGACATGATTTTCAATTGAACTATGACACGCGTACTCCATAATTGGGCAGATGTCCACTGAGTTTAACGGTCCCTAGGACCTAATAATGTTGTACTGTGCATTCTAGTAGGAAGGTCTTTGCATGTAACACTTCATTAGCTAAACGAATCATCCCTGAGTTTCTCTGACA